CCAGAAGAAGGTTCAGTCTGTATGGTGGCTGGATGGGGAAGAACCAGCTGGAATGCAGCTGTGTCAGATGTTTTGATGTCAGTCAATGTGACTGTGGTTGGCAGAAAGAAGTGCAGCTCACCGGCTTTTTACAATCATACCATAACTGACAACATGATTTGTGCTGGGTGGAATGGGAACATCCAAGCTGACAGCTGTCAGGTAAGTGACAATTTATGCAAATATAAAATGTTGTGATTTTCACAAAATTGCATTTTATATATTTCTTCTCTCTGTAGGGGGATTCTGGTGGGCCAATACTGTGCAATGGAGCTGTAGTTGGAGTTACATCTTTTGGGGATGGGTGTGGACTCAAAACCAAACCTGGCGTGTACGCTTTCCTCACCAAAGATCACCTTGACTGGATCAAGAAGACAATGAACCAATGAGATGATGAATAAGCCTTGGTTGAATGTTGCTGTTTTACTCATTCAACCACTTTTCTTGCTCTCCTATGTTATACAACTTGCATTTTGCTTCTTAAAGATGTATGCGCAGGCAACGATTGAACAAATAAAAACTGAGCTTTAGCTTGTTACAGCAAACTTTGAAACCTGTTTGTGTAAATCACTTTATTAAAGGATTAAAAAGTAAAATATATTTCTGGCCCTGTACCAGTAGATTAGCCACTTACAAAAACCTCTGAATGTGGTGCTTTCTATGACAGCTGTAGCTGTACCGTCTCAAACAAACACTGTTTAAAAACAGCAGCAAATATACTTCCAAAATTGATGGAATTGCAAAGATCTAAAAATGATCTTCACATGAGTAGATATAACATTTTGGTGGATGGTTGTTTTAAGACAGCAGAAGACTTTGGTTTCAGTCTCAGTTTAACAAGCTGTTATTTTAAGTTTGTGGGCAAAAACATAACTGTTGAAGCCAACAACCCCAAGGAATCAGACAACTTGAAAATGCAACAACACCCTTCAAAGTACTCAAGGGTAACAGTTTTTTCCAATTAAAATGCAAAATAAGTTTATTCTTTTCTTTATATTTTTCTCCAGCAATAAAGTTTAATAAAGAGCCTCACACCTGCTTTAATAAATTTGGCATAGTTTTAAAAACTGTTTTTTGTCCATTTCCATGACAAAAACCAGAACTTTCCTCACATTATTGCTTTTATCCACAGATAGGGACTGATCCCTTGCAGAGATATGGATGACAACAGACAGTCTTGTGCTGAATGAGAGTTGAGCAGGAGTTTATTTAGGCAGCAACAGAGGTGAGAGGAATCACCAGTAGGAGCAGGAAGAGCAGTTCTCCAAGTTGACAGTATCTCTGATAAATAATCATGTAAGGTCTGGAAAAAGTTGCTACTGTCTCCTCTGCTGAGTAAGCAGTATGTAACGTAACATCCATGTGCGCATGGACATTACCATAAGGTATGCTGGATTTACGGGTATGACAGATAGACGAAATGAATAAAGACAGTGTTTCTAACTTTTAATGTGATTATCTAATTGTTTTAGGGTATTTCTGAATAAAGAGCACAATATTTTAATTTGATAGGAATGATTCTGATAATTTTTATATTGACATTGATGAATAGATGCACACTTTTACAGTGTTTTATTTAAGAACATATTTACATGATCCCATAATTTAATGTACAGTCATGGCCAAAAGTTTTGAGAATGATTCAAATGTTAATATTTACAAAGTCTACTGCTTCAGTTTTTATAATGGCAATTTGCATATACTCCAGAATGTTATAAAGAGTGATCAGCTTAACAGCAATTAATTGCAAAGTCAATATTTGCCTAGAAAATGAACTTTATCCCCCAAAACACATTTCAACTTCATTGCAGCCCTGCCTTAAAAGGACCAGCTAACATCGTTTCAGTGATTGCTCCATTAACACAGGTGTGGGTGTTGATGAGGACAGGGCTGGAGATCAATCTGTCATGATTAAGTAAGAATGACACCACTGGACACTTTAAAAAGAGGCTGGTGCTTGGCATCATTGTTTCTCTTCTGTGAACCATGGTTATCTCTAAAGAAACATGTGCCGTCATCATTGCACTGGACAAAAATGGCCTAACAGGGAAGAGTATCGCAGCTAGAAAGATTGCACCTCAGTCAACAATCTATCGCATCATCAAGAACTTCAAGGAGAGAGGTTCCATTGTTGCCAAAAAGGCTCCAGGGCGCCCAAGAAAGACCAGCAAGCACCAGGACAGTCTCTTAAAAGTGTTTCAGCTGCGGGATCGGGCTACCAGCAGTGCAGAGCTTGCTCAGGAATGGCAGCAGGCAGGTGTGAGTGCATCTGCACGCACTGTGAGGCGGAGACTCTTGGAGCAAGGCCTGGTAAGGAGCAGATTTAGAAGTACGCCGAAAACTACAGAATATGTTTAAAACTGAGGTGCGCTGAAGTA